AATGGTCTACTGCAACAGCTTTCCCCAGTGCCAGTTTTAATTGCTTAGTTATTGGGCACACGGTTTGTCTCTAGACAGGTACTTTAATCAAGAACACATATTGCTTATGCTTCAGTATTTATACTGGTCTGCCTGCATGAGGCATCCAAATATATTTTTCATAGATGCTCCTTACACTTAGACCATGGACAATGATGGAATGGAATAAACATTAGAAGTCGTCTTATATTTAAAATGTACTCATATCCCACTATGCTAGCCAGAAAGTTAATAAGTTATATATCTAAATTCATATCGGAGCCAACTACTGCCTGACAATGTAAGCCTCATTTCAGCAAAACCAAACTTAATAAGTACAATTGTTTTAATGCATATAAGGTTCTGTTTGTGTCAGCAGTTATTAAGCAGAGGTCAAAGCAGCACTGCTAAGGAACTTGAGGTTTCTGACGGTGGCTGCACGTATGATCACCAAAATCATAACAATGCAAAGCTGCTAGAAAGCTACATTTCACAAGCATTTAGATATGAGTCTCATATCAGGTAATCCCTGCTCCTGCCCCACTATTTGTCTTACGGCCTGTTCTCCAACCACACATGCAGGATGAGGCTTCGTATAAGGAGTTCTGGAGATAGTCTTGTTATTAGAACAAGAACAAGGCATCAGCATCTGTCTGTAAGCTACAAATATCTGTTAAAAACACCTAACAAAAATATACATATGTATAAATTACAAGGGGGGAAAAAAATGGCAAAAAACTCTTAACATAGTTACAGCAAAATAATGAAATGGAGAACCAAAAAGGAAGATGTGACAAAGTGCAGAAGCTTTTCAGTAGAAGAACATTTTGAAGCCTCAGGAACTACAAGTCACCAGATGGGTCTTCTACATACCAGCATGTAGGTGGCAGCTGAACCAGGAAATTGTTGAAGGAAATTAATCCTTTTGAAGAAAATCTTGCACTGTTCACCTGGGTAAGATGCCAATTCTAACCCAAAAGAATCATCACAACCCCCTTCTCCCAAGGACAAGGGGCACTATTCTAAAACAAAAGACATACAAAATCTAGAGCATTTGTAACTGCTTACAACCTGGTCCTCTGTCAAACTATAGACCTGTCCCTCAAATTCATCTCAGGTGCTAAGTATTCCCACTAATAGGCTACTTAAATTTCTCTGTGCAGATTACCTGGCCAGTGCAGTCCAGCTGCATTAAATGCAGAGACAAATGCAGGCAGACAAACAGAAGATAGCTGTAGGTTCCTCCAGCTTTTTTTTTTTTTTTTTTTTTAATTTAGCTTGGCAGTGCAGGGAAGATGTTATATTAATAGCTTTGACTGTAACAGGGCCTGTTTCTGCAGGAAAGTCCTTGAGATCACTATGTGGAACTTCCTCATTACCAGCTTCAAAAAAAAAAAAAAAATTAGATCAAGGTACAAATGATGGCTAGAAACATGTGCAGATGCTTTATTTACCTTCCCTCTTGATACAGATTTGACTTCTTTAAAACATTTATCAGCAACAATACTGCAGCTACATCTGAGTTTTGTACATAATCCACAACTTCCACCCCGAGTATTATTTCATTATTGCCATCTTAAGAGCTACTGTTTGCACAGCCACCCTCACATTATGGTAGAGGCAATAAACATTTTCTAAAAGAATTTAAAGAATTTGTGAATTTGCATAAAATAAGAGTTCAACTCAGCTGAAGGCCAATCAAGCATGATAAGTTAACTATAAGCTTTTTCCATTAAATGGAACCAGTGACTGAAAAATTCAAATAATCCATGGGCCTTGGAGGCATTCAGCGTACTGGATAACTGCTACACTTTTGCTATGCTCTTGCAGTTTTTGTGGCACATAAAATACTACTCTGTTTCAAGCAACTTCAGTTTTCAGGCTGTCGTCCTCAAATAATTTATTCTTAAGTCTAGAAGGAAGAGGAATATATTGCAGCATAAGAACAGGTCTCTGGTCATCTGAAAGTGTTATGCAAATGTTTGGAAAACAACTCCAATTATGAGTACAAATCAATAGAATATCTGAGGCAAGAGATTACTTTTTAATTGGACTGCACTGTTTTGTTTTTTTCTTCTATACTTTGGATGAATAAGTCCATTAAAACCCCACAAAACTACACTGAATAGGGAATGGTTGAAGGGAATATCTCTAGACACTGAACTACACAAATGGTTGTTCTAAATCAGATAAAACTTAGCCTAAAGTTTTATATCCTTCTCCAACAGCTTCTAAAGTACAGAAATCCTTAAGATAAAGATCAAGACACCAAATCTAAAATACAGCTTCTTTTAGTTCTGTGTACTGACAAGCAGAACAGTAAACAGCATGCCAGCAACCATAAAAGCAATAACAAAATCCAATTATTGGTTAGCTTCTTCAAACATAGCTTTAAATTATTTCTGGATGCAAAACATACATTTTTCTCAGTCAACATCAGAACTGGAAGACAGTACTCTTCTTGGGCTTGTATTTCCTGAGATTAGTCTTACCTGAATGCAGAAACATGATGCAGAAAAGTTATTTTTCCAATATCCTTCCTCTCACAGCAGTAAGAGTGCTTCTGATATAATTAAGACTTTCTTGAAAAAAGATGGTTCCAGAGGGAAGAGGACTATGAAGCTCAAACCTCTCCCACAAGGACCACAACCTCTGCCATGACTGTTTGTCAATGACCCCAGTCAGAAGCTTCACCTGTGTCTGCAGTCAGGCTTAGAGAACCAGCATCATGTCTTACACAGGGCATATTGATTTCATTTGCAAAAGAAAATTTGAAGATTTTCCCAAAGCACAATAATATAAACACAAATTTCAAGTGCTTTTGTACCACAACTAATGTAGACTCAAATTTCACTCACTTTTTTAAGACTCTTTATTGTTCTGAGGACAGATAGAAAAGTTTTGAAAGGGCTTAGGAGATATTGCAGAAACAAAGTAGTATTTAATGGCTTGTTCTCTCTTTCTGGTGCCAGATACACATCCCATTTTGTTAGAGCCCACATTATTCTAACTGCACAGTCATAATACATGTGTTATTTTGACACACTCAGTAAACTTCTCCAAGTAAGCACTCTTTTTTGGATTTAATTGGAAAATTTGCATCAGCAAGTATTGACAGCTCTAGTAGGCAGCATCCTGAAGCAAGTCCCTTCTCAGTAAGAATTATTATTACTAGAGTGTGTCTTGGTTCTTGTCCAAGTGCCACTGCAATCAGTCAGAATCTCAGCATGCTTTAGGTAAGTTCCTATAATCATATCATGTCATATAATCATAGGATCACAAGATAATGCTGTCTGAAAGGAAGCTCAGGAGGTCTCCAGTCCCCATCCCACTGCTCAAAGCAGTGGTAGCTGTGTGATCAGACCAGGCTGCTCAGGGCTTGCTTTAGTTGTATGGATGAACAGTACAATCTAATCCTTATCTCTATCCCAGGGCAGATCAGCTAAGTTACTGCTGGCATATTAGTGTAACATAACCATAGACAATGGCATAGAGAAAAGAGTTCCAGCTTCTTCAGGTTTTCATTGTTGGTCATTTTAATCAACGCTCCTGGTAATTCATGTTTTTCTCCTTTGGACTCTCTCTAAATGGTTCAAATCTTTGGACTCGGTGGGCAGCACATAGAAATAACCTGCTTACCAAGAGGAAAAAAAGGAAACTCAGTCCATAACCTTGATTTCTATAGGTGAATTTCCTAAAGGAAGTGTATTTTGGCTTTTTCTGAGCAACTGCAGAAAAGGGTTATTTTCTCCACAGGAAGACATATAATTCATTTAGGTTGCTTTCTTAAACATCATAAGGTATGCTTACAAAATGACAGTGGGGACACATATCTTCTATTCTCACTTTCTCACTTCAGCTCCGGTTTAAGTATTTGGTACTTATGTGATTGACATTTTGATTCCCACATGCAACTGAGAAGCTTCCTGCAAAGCTACAGGTGCTTTTTTCTAGCCATTCAATAATCCAGCCAGTTGGCCCACTCAGTAATTACTGTAAAGGTCTCTTAATTCTTATTGGGAGTAGCAGATAATTTATATTCTTGGTTGGAGAGAAATCTGGAAAGTAATTTACTTACATAGACATTTTGACTCAAACTTTTAGCTTGCGAGGTTATTAAACATAATTCTATTTTTTTCTTAGCTATGAGGATATTTTGTACATGGCTGGGTACCCCAAAATGGAATTTAATATGTTCCTGTCAAATACTCTATCAGCATTTAATTTTCCTCTTGTTTATTGTATCTCCATAATAACAACTAAGGGGTATCTTGTGTGCAAAGTGTTCTTTGTATATATGACTACAGAGAGTAATAGCAGCTGCATGCACTGAGAGAGATCTGGCAAATCCTAATATTAGATTTTCTGAAAAAAAGCTGTTTCGATCCATATTACTATCACTAATTCACCAGCATAGGATATCATGCATGCTTTCTTCTTCAGTCACATTGAAATGCCATCTGAGTAAAGGTACTGGTACATAAACTAATTACAGCTGAGCAATATAAAATTAACACATTAACTGATTATTACTTGTTAATGAAAAATTAAGTTTCATTGCATCTTCATTGCTTTTTCTTCAGTATAGTTGATCTCTTGCCGTATTTTAAAACAGTATAAGTATTAATTGTCACCTCATCCAAAACAAAGTAAGGTACCAAGCAGTATTCAGTCAACAAAGAAAGCCTGCTTTATGGAAGAAAAATCCTTTGAATGCAACCTAATACAAAAACTGTACCCCTGATTCAGGATGGCCCTGAACGTTGAAAGTTATCATTACATAAAAGCTCTGTTTCTAAGAAAACATTTGCTGTTTTGTCCATTGTGAAGGAAAGAAAGGACTCTCCATTATGGGCCTTTCTGTTCTGCCTGACATGTGGGTTCTTCTTTTGCAGTGTTTCCCAATAGAATATGTGCTCATTTGTCCAAATATGATGAGATATAATTATATTATTGTACAGACAAGGAGAAAATGGGACCCCCTATATGTTAAACAATGAATGACTGATCTGTATTCCTTTGACATTAAGACAGAACCCTACATAAACATCTTCCCAATGTATACATGTTATTGTTACAGAAGCATTTGCAATTTTTGAAGCCAGGTCTCCAGAAAAGACATAGCCAGTTCCTTAACAAAAAGGAGGGTATTTGTCACCTGAGTATTCTTCTTCTGATATGTACCATTTACTTTCTTTATTCTGAATAGGCTTATGCCCTTTCATAAAACAGCCTGTGAAATAATTTTGTGGAGGAGGTGAAAGAGGCCTGAGGAGCTTTTCTATTAGGTACATTGTATTAACAAAAATATCAATGTCTGTCTTCATAACAAAGCTTGAGCCACTGCAATAAGAGGCAACCCACGTCATGCCCATCAAAGCTGTAAGAGTTAAGTTATGGTAAGCGTCCAGGAAGTCCTGTTGAATAATATCATGATAGTGCTCACTTTCTCTCAGTAGGATCTCATTTGGACCCTTGCTCTCAATGCCCAGCAAAAACAACCGAGCAACCTCAACTCCTGGAACCACGGATTCATTTCCCCAAGTTTTTCTGATGGAACTTCTGTGCTGAATTTCAGCAGCTGTAGTTGCTATTAACAATATCAAGAAAGGTGTTTTATCTTTACACTTCTCCTTTTCATTAATAATGAATTTAAGTGACCGCGTTGAAGTGGATCTGTTTTTATTCCCAAATTTATCATTTTCAGCTAGTAGTTCTCCATTTTCTTTCCATAAGAATTGTTTGAATTTTGAAATAATGTTTTTATGTAAAACACTTTCACTTTCCATCTAAAGATTATCATACCTTTTGGTTAAAGTATGTCTTTTTCTTCTATGTCATCACTGTTTTGAACTTTACTTTCAGTTAGAACAGCAAGGTGATCAGAATTCAAAAAATAGAAAACCAAATATATAGCTTTAAAAGAGACGGAGTCAATCAGGAAAACATTTCTCTTGGTGCAATCCCAAGCAGAGGAGAAGAACCCACTACAGTAGGTCATGTTGGCAGCTTTGAGAGGATGCACAAAAAGCTATTTTTTAATTGGACAGATATTTTGTCAGAAGAGCAGTTAATTTGTAATTGTTTTCTTCAGTGACACAGGAAGATAAAAGCAATCTGCAGGCTTCTGATTCTTCAGGGTTCCTTTTTTTTTTTTTTCATTAAAAGTATCCCATTTTTTCATTTTAGAATAAATTGTAAAAATTTTCATAGAAGAAAAAAAAAACAACTTAAAAAAAATTCATTATTTCATTTTCAGGCTTTTCTTCCTAAGATAAATATAGTATGATAAATACAGCAAGAAATAAATAAAACTAAGTAAATACAGTATTTAAAATAACCATTTTCTCAGATAGAACAGAACTTATTCAGATACATATTTAGATATTGGAATATATGTAAACTATAAATGTGAATGCAATGCAATGTTATAATCAATCTTTTGATTTTTTTTAATATATATATATATGCAAAATACCTGTCAATCTTTCAATGTGGTTGTCTTCAATACTAGTAGCAGGATACTGAACACCTAAGAGGTATGGTAGAATGTAAAATATGTGTTCTATTTCAAATGCATACATTTATTAAAACACGCTAAAAAGATGCACATTTAAAGTAGTTTGTAATTGCTATTCCAATTGCTACAACACTCCCTTCTAGGTTATAAAAGTAGAAGAAAGATAGCTTAGCTTCATGTAAGCTTTACCAAATGTTATTGTGTAACCGAATAATCCAAAGCAAATGAAAGATTATGATTGATAATGGATTCACAGCCTTAGAGACTACTGTGATAAATCACATGGCAGGTACCTTTGGCCATTTAAAAGTTAGACACATGGTTGAAAGTGATTGTCTAGGCTATGCAAAATGTTAATGCAGACAGAGAGGTAGCATTTCCAGAGGCAAACTTAGCCATCAAAAGATAGGTGTCTTACATGAGATGAAGTGCCCCCTGCCAGCGTCTACCTCTGTAAAGAATAAAGACAACTGGCTTAGGCTAGATCCATACATTTTAAATGGCTTCAACTGAATGAGTTGAATCCCATCCTTCCAGACTGCAAGGACAGGCAAAATATAAATACTGCAACAATGAAAATACTGTAGCTTTGGGTATTTTTTTGTGATTTCCATAATAGCTAGTTTCAAATTCTGTCTTCCTTCAACTACATGATACAGAAATTTATCTAAGCCTTGGAGATGCACCACAGTTTGCAAGGAGAGGGAGATAATCACATGTACCCAACACACCACAAACTGGTAACACCCAAGAATGCTATCTGGAAGAAAGTACAAGTTATCTGTACTAAACTGCTTTTTTCAAACTGGTCTCTGAACAGTTCTCTACGTGTATTCCAAAGTGAAGTGCAAAAGTATAGTAAGTCAGGGTTTTTCAAATTTTGTGTGCCAAAACACTAATTGACAGGTGCAACATGTATCTCACAAGCAAATAGCAAAATTCAACACTTGTTACCATCATCTTTGAAAGTGCAGATTCATCCCAGTCATACAACCATGATATTTTTGGAACAGATTCTTCAGTAGTTTCTTGCTGCTTCACAAAGAAATGACAGATTTAGAAGGACTGAAATGGAGTCAGGGATCCTACCTCTGTGCCCATGGAGAACCTGAGAACAAGCTTACAGACCCGTGAGGTTCTGTCCTAAGTCTTTTCCAGAGAAATTATGAATTAACACAAAGGAAAACGCACCAGGGCATTCACCATTCTATTTGAAAGGGAAAAAACACTCTGTCACTTGTAGCAATGAAGAGACCGTCTATAAAATCAGATTGAATTTAACAATTTTTGAATATGCAATAGAAAGAAAGAAAGAAACTAAGAAATGAATTTATGCTCAATTATAATTTAATCTGGATAAAATAGATATTGATTAATCTGAATGCAAATGTGTGGTTCATTACCCTTGGCCAGCATCCAAACACTCACCCAGCTACTCACCCACTTTCCCCTTCTCAACAGGACAAAAGGAGAAAATAGGATGAAAAAGTTTGTGGATCAAATTAAAGACAGGGAGCTCATTTACCAGATACTGTCAAGGGCAAAACAGACTTGGGGAAAATTAATTTACTCTATTGCTAATTAAAATACATTTGGATACTGAGAAACAAAGACAAAAACTAAGACA